CCCCAGCCCCCAGCCCCCAGCCCCCAGGGGTGCCACACCCACCATTTATACAAAATTGAGTCCCTTTGGCCCAAGGATGCTCTAGACCAAATTTGGTCAAAATCTACTTGGCCGTTCAGGACTAGTAGCGTTTTAAAGGAAAAGTTGACGGACGGACGACGGACAGACGGAGGACAGGCGCTTCGGTATGGCACAAGCTCACCAGGTGAGCTAAAAATGTTCTACAACACATAAATATGCATTATATTCCAAGAAATTGGCATTATGCCTTTTACACTTTGAATACAATTTCAGAAAGCTGTATTAAAGTATAAAACATTTAACAACCTCACTCCAAACTTCCTCAAAAGCAAGTTTGAGTTATATCAGTGAACACAAATTTCAATCATCTACTGCAAATAATTTATTCATTTCTGTGTCCAAGCTTCAAACTATATAAACAAGAGGCCAAATAGGTCTTAATCGCTGATGGGGGTTTTGGTTATCAATTATGCAAACAGAAATTGTTTTTTCAAACACTTGATCTCTGTGACCTTGAAAGGGGTCAAGGTCAATAATTTCAATAACTCTCCATCCCAGTATGCTACAGGCCAGATATCACCACTCTGGGTCTTTTGGTTGTTCAGTAGAACTTGTTTGAGGATTTTTAAAACAATTTTACCCCAGTGATCTATGTCATGTTCCTGTTAATAACACATTTTCACCTGAATCAATCAGAAGTGCTATTAAGCGAAATCTACTATATACTAAAATAACCTGTTTCTTCCCAAGGTTTCAGATGACCCGAGATCATTATCAAAATTTTCGGTTTGTGCCCCTTACTCTACAGTTTAATAATGTTTCTTGTTGAATATGTCATCAAATCATCCCTCCACATACTCGTTAACCAACCTTGAGGAACCTCCACATACTCGTTAACCAACCTTGAGGAAGACCATGGAGAAATCTCTTGTCATCTTCACCAGGTGGGACACATGCTCCTCACTCAGTTCCTCAACCTAAAACACATTGATGAAGAGGTCTGTATGACCTACATGTACTTTGCTGGCCTTGTCTTTATTTTGTTGTCTAATCTAGAAAATGAGCTAAAAATATTCTGGATACAGTGGAACCCACTTATTATGATATCAGTTATTATGATATCGGTTATTATGATATTTTTCCCATGTACCGATTATCAATTCGATTATTATAATATGGTCAAATTGATGAAGTTGGTCAGTTCCATTTAGAAGGTGGGACCCCGCTTATTATGATATTTTTTTCTGCTGTGAATGTATTTCATAAGGTAAAAACTCAGGTAAGTTGTTCGTGTGAAACACCTGGACAATTGAACAATAGGTTCGGCTAACTGTACATCGCCCGAGGTGATCACCTGTCCACTCCAGGTAAATTTTTCACACCTCACTTCACCCCAGTAAGCGGAAAACAATAGATCGATCATCACTTGCTGGTCATATATTTTAGTCTTAACAAAACATGTGGTGCAGTTAATTGCTATCTAACATTGAAATAATTAGGCCTATCAACATTTTCTAACACAAATTCAGATAAGAAAACGAGCAGTAGTTTTGAGACCAAAGGGGTAATCTTGGGTATTTAACTATTCTGAGCCAATTATAATTATAAGGTAATTTAACAAGAGTACCGTGAGGTCTGAACAGTATTATCGCCTGTTTAAAGTTGAAAGTGATTAGAGGTCATTCATTTGAACATACTTTTATTAAAAGCTCTTCATCTGAGGAAGCTTCTGGCTAAATATCACCACAATCTATGCATTTTGGTTATTCAGAAGAATCCGTTTAAAGTAACATATTTGACCCTTGTGACCTTAAATATGAGTCAAGGTCATTCATTTGAACATACTTGTTAGCCCTTCATTCCAGTATGTTATTGGCCAATTATCATCACCCTTGGTCTTTCAGTTATTCAGAAGAAATTGTTTATAGGTGTTTGTAGGTTTTTTAAATAAAACTGACCCCGTGACCTTGAATATGAGTCAAGGTCATTTATTTGGTATCCCTTCATCACAGCATACTACTGGCCAAATATCATCACCCTGTGTATTTTGTTAATGCAAATGAACTTATTTTAAATCTTTTCTTAATTTGACCCATGTGACCTTGAAAGTGGGTCAAGGTCAATCATTTGAACATTAGCACGTTAAAGGCCAAAATATTATCACCAAAGGCTTCATTGGTGATTGAGAAGTTGTGATGATGGACTGAAAAACAACATGACATCAGAACGAAGTTACCTTAGAATCTGGTTTTACTCCACTGTCAAACAACGCCTGTAAAACAATCAAACAGTCTACATTAATTATATACAGTTACACTGTCAAACAATGACTGTAAAACAATCAAACAGACTACATTATATACAGTTACACTGTCAAACAATGACTGTAAAACAATCAAACAGACTACATTATATACAGTTACACTGTCAAACAATGACTGTAAAACAATCAAACAGACTACATTATATACAGTTACACTGTCAAACAATGACTGTAAAACAATCAAACAGACTACATTATATACAGTTACACTGTCAAACAATGACTGTAAAACAATCAAACAGACTACATTATATACAGTTACACTGTCAAACAATGACTGTAAAACAATCAAACAGACTACATTATATACAGTTACACTGTCAAACAATGACTGTAAAACAATCAAACAGACTACATTATATACAGTTACACTGTCAAACAACGCCTGTAAAACATGTGTTCAGCCACCTAAACATGTACTTTTATATAAAATTTAGCAATTTCAGGTTACAATGAGATATGGCTGAGATGAAGTGACAGATTGATAAACAGTGATCTAATACCGTGGAACTGGAGGACAATGAGATATGACTGAGATGAAGTGACAGATTGATAGACAGAGTGATCTTATACCGTGGAACTGGAGGACAATGAGATATGGCTGAGATGAAGTGACAGATTGATAGACAGAGTGGTCTTATACCGTGGAACTGGACGAGACTAGATCACAAAGACCAGTTCTAACACCGATACCTTCCGATACACTTTACCTCATTTTTGATGATGTTTCCAACCCCAGGCAGGACAGTTTGATCTAGAAGGACATCACACAACTGTCTTCCTCTTTGTGCCATGACCATAGCAATAGCGCGTCTCTGATTAAACACAGGAGAACAAATGTCCACCTCGTTCAGGTTATCGTACCTCTCTCTACACGATGTGGAGCTTCTGTAATGATTTCAACAAAGACAATAGTCTCTAAGATCTATACTGTCCCAGGCCAAGGTGGTTATGTATAGTAAGATCTATACTGTCCCAGGCCAAAGTAGTTATCTATAGTAAGATCTCTGTCCCAGGCCAAAGTAGTTATGTATAGTAACTATTCTGTCCCAGGCCAAAGTAGTTATGTATAGTAACTATTCTGTCCCAGGCCAAAGTAGTTATGTATAGTAACTATTCTGTCCCAGGCCAAAGTAGTTATGTATAGTAAGATCTATACTTTCCCAGGCCAAAGTAGTTATGTATAGTAAGATCTATACTTTCCCAGGCCAAAGTAGTTATGTATAGTAAGATCTATACTTTCCCAGGCCAAAGTAGTTATGTATAGTAAGATCTCTGTCCCAGGCCAAAGTAGTTAAGTACAGTAAGATCTCTGTCCCAGGCCAAAGTAGTTATGTATAGTAAGATCTCTGTCCCAGGCCAAAGTAGTTATGTATAGTAAGATCTCTGTCCCAGGCCAAAGTAGTTATGTATAGTAAGATCTCTGTCCCAGGCCAAAGTAGTTATGTATAGTAAGATCTCTGTCCCAGGCCAAAGTAGTTATGTATAGTAAGATCTCTGTCCCAGGCCAAAGTAGTTATGTATAGTAAGATCTCTGTCCCAGGCCAAAGTAGTTATGTATAGTAAGATCTCTGTCCCAGGCCAAAGTAGTTATGTATAGTAAGATCTCTGTCCCAGGCCAAAGTAGTTATGTATAGTAAGATCTCTGTCCCAGGCCAAAGTAGTTATGTATAGTAAGATCTCTGTCCCAGGCCAAAGTAGTTATGTATAGTAAGATCTCTGTCCCAGGCCAAAGTAGTTATGTATAGTAAGATCTCTGTCCCAGGCCAAAGTAGTTATGTATAGTAAGATCTCTGTCCCAGGCCAAAGTAGTTATGTATAGTAAGATCTCTGTCCCAGGCCAAAGTAGTTATGTATAGTAAGATCTCTATCCCAGGCCAAAGTAGTTATGTATAGTAAGATCTCTGTCCCAGGCCAAAGTAGTTATGTATAGTAAGATCTCTGTCCCAGGCCAAAGTAGTTATGTATAGTAAGATCTCTGTCCCAGGCCAAAGTAGTTATGTATAGTAAGATCTCTGTCCCAGGCCAAAGTAGTTATGTATAGTAAGATCTCTGTCCCAGGCCAAAGTAGTTATGTATAGTAAGATCTCTGTCCCAGGCCAAAGTAGTTATGTATAGTAAGATCTCTGTCCCAGGCCAAAGTAGTTATGTATAGTAAGATCTCTGTCCCAGGCCAAAGTAGTTATGTATAGTAAGATCTCTGTCCCAGGCCAAAGTAGTTATGTATAGTAAGATCTATACTGTCCCAGGCCAAAGTAGTTATGTATAGTAAGATCTATACTGTCCCAGGCCAAAGAGACAATTAGTTATGTATAGTAAGATCTCTGTCCCAGGCCAAAGTAGTTATGTATAGTAA